TCGGGGCCTCTTCGGAGCCTTTATGGGCCCCTCAGTGGGTATCCTTCCAGGTGTGAAAGAAGGTTGGCCTCTCAGGGGTACGTTTGGGATGCTCAGTGGCCACTTGGAGCAGCCTTGGAGCTGCATTGGAGCCTCTTGCAGGCAGGTTGGAGGCCACCCCGGGCGACATTGTACTATCTTGGACGTCTTGGAGTCAACACTGGGCTACCTGGGGCAATCTTGGAGCCATATTGGGCCGCCTTGGAGGCTGCTATCCCCGACAGACCCTTGTTGGTGTCGTTGGTGCTCGCGTTGGGGGGCTCCCACGATCTCCGAGACGACCGCCAGAGCGCTGGCCCGTGGCCGAGACTCGGTAGCTGGGCGAGGGCTGGCAAATCCGCGGCTGCTGAAACAGTCTTCCCGGAAGAATGGAAACATATTCCAGGAATGCAATTCGGCGCGTTAAATGTTAAACGGGCTGCTTCCCGGAAGAAGAAGCAATTCCCCGGAGCTCTGTTTCAGCAGCCACAGGTTTGCCAGCTTTCGCTTGGTTTTTGAGAGACCCCCACCCAGGAACCACCTGGGGCACCGACCGTTCCGCAGAAGGCACTTGTACGCCACCACCGCCACCGCGCCTGCCAGGATCCCATCCTCGGCCCCATGACGGTGCACAGGTCCTGCTGGCCTCGGCCAGAGGCGCGCACACACCACGCCTGGGCACAGGATGGCCCTGGCCAGGCGCGGTGGTGGCGTACGGTAGGTTCGTGCTCTGTCGTCGAGGCGGCGACCCCAGCGCGGGCGTTCACGGTTGAACGCCGCCTGTGGCCCAGAATCGGCCAATACATAGAACGATCTGGCGACTGAGAAATTGCCGATCGCTCAAGGCTGAACGACCCACGCAGTAGCAGCGAGACCAACGTGAAAGTGCCTCCTGCGCGTCTGCAGCTTAGCTGCCCTGGTGCGCCCGTTTTGAAACGCAGCACGTCCCGTGTTCAAAACGTCCGAGTTCAACACAGTGCGTGTTTGTTCGGGACGTGTTGGCCCACGTTTTGGCGTCCGCACCGCGCCAGACTTACGTCTTCAGTCTACGTGTTGAGCTCCGCGTCGACGCGCTACAGGCTGCGTGTTGCGTATTGGGGCAGCTAAGGGCGACAACGACAACGACGGCGACGACGGCGCGTGGAGGAGGAGGAGGAGGAGGAGGAGGAGGAGGAGGAGGAGGAGGAGGAGGGAGGAGGAGGAGGAGGAGGAGGAGGAGTAGGAGGAGGAGGGTGGAGGAGGGAGGAGGAGGAGGAGGAGGAGGAGGAGGAGGAGGAGGAGGAGGAGGAGGAGGAGGAGGAGGAGGATGATACCGACGACGACGCGACGTCGACGACGACGACAACGACGCTGAGCCATCCTGGCTCAGCCTTCGCACGGGGGCGATGCCACAGCCGCCGCGCCCTAGGGGCGGCAGCGGCCGGGGCCGCGGCGGCGAGGGCGCGGGCGACGCGGAGGCCGCCTGCTGCTCCGGCCGCCCCGCGGCGGGGCAGATCGCGCGATTGTCGGGCCACGCGGTGGAGCAGCATCGTTCACAGAGCGCGTTCCACGACTCGCAAAGTGCCTACTCGCAAACGTCCGAAACACACATGTCCGCTTTGATGCAATGTATCGCAGATCCTCCGCGGGGGATCCCGGCCATTTGCGAGTAGTTACTTTGCGAGTAGTGGAACGCGCTCGTCTAATCGTTGAAACGACCCCGATCCCCATCCCCACCCAGACCCCCACCATCTCAGCACCCCAGTTGGGGGATGCACGCCTCGAAGCCTGGAGGGCGCGGCCTACATCCTCATCCAGGGGGGCAGGTATAGCGTCCAGGGGGACCCAGGCCACGCTGGTAGGGATTAGGGATCTGTGAAATGATGCTCAGGTGGGGCCATGGCCGCCTCTCCGCGCGCGTCTCAGGCGGCATTCTTCATCCGAGGCGCCTGCGGCGAAGCACCGACCCTGAGAGACCCGGCCGCTGCATGGGTTTCTGTTCTGGCGGCGGGCCTTTGTTTGCGCGCCCTGTCTGGGGCCCCTGGGCCCTCGCAGATCGATCCAGCTCGAAAGATGGCGCAGGAAGGAGGAGGAGGCGGAGAAGGAGGAGGAGGAGGAGGCGGAGGAGCAAAAAAAGGAAGAGGAGGAGGAGGAGAGGAGGAGGAGGAGGAGGAGGAGGAGGAGGAGGAGGAGGAGGAGGAGGAGGAGGAGGAGGAGGAGGAGGAGGAGGAGGAGGAGGAGGAGGAGGAGGAGGAGGAGGAGAGAGAGGAGGAGGAGGGGAGGAGGAGAGAGAGGAGGGGCAGGATGGGAGGAGGAGGAGGAGGAGGAGGAGGAGGAGAGGAGGAGGGGAGGAGGAGAGAGAGGAGGGGCAGGATGGGGAGGAGGAGGAGGAGAGGAGGAGGGAGGAGGAGGAGGAGGAGGAGGAGACAGAAGAGGAGGAGGAGGAGGGGGAGGAGGAGAGGAGGAGGAGGAGGAGGAGGAGGAGGAGGAGAGAGGAGGCTTTGATCATGGATCTCTCCAGCCACCAGGAACCAGGAACCAGGAGGAGGAAGATGAGGAGGCGAAGGAGGAGGAGGCGGAGGAGGAGGAGGAGGAGGACGAGGAAGAGGAGGAGGAGGAGGAGGAGGAGGAGGAGGAGGAGGAGGAGGTGTGGTCTGGGGCCCCGCCTGTGTTTTTCTGAGATGCTTCCATTTTGTGTCTGCAGCGTCGGATCTCAGCTCGGCAGGATGGCAACGGGCACGGGGCGAGCGGTGGCAAAGACCGGCAAGCTCCCGCCAGGACTGAGCCGCCTTCGCTGTCGGTGTCGCCGCGGACGTTGCCCACGTGAGGCAATAAGGTCGCCCTGGCCTCGCCCACCCCTCGTCCTCCTGCTTCTCGGCTACATGTAAGAGGGACCCTTCGCCGGAGTGACCTTTGGCGCGGGCCCACTGGGATCCCCCGATCGCCGTGCGCGGTGCGATAGTAGCGTCTTGCGCGCTTGTGTTTGGTCCCCTCCCCTCGCGGCCCCCAGATGGCCCCGCACCACAGGCCACTAGTTGCCCAGGGTCGCGCCTGCGTGTGGCCGCTGGAGGCAAGAAGGTCGCCCCTGGCCTCGCCCGCCCCGCGTCCCCCCGCTGCGGCTCACGAGCTTGTGCACCTCGGCCGGGACGGCTCCCCGTGGCCACCCCGCTGCAAGGTGGCCAGAGCGTGTGGGCATCTCTCCCCTTTCTCGGGAGGGGAAGAACACACACAGACACAAATAGTCGTCGATGCCCCGGAAAAAATGGGAAAACATGGAAAGTGGGGGGGAGACGAAAATTCAAAACAACAACAAAAAGTGAAAACATGGGGAATATTGTTATTTGTGTCTATCTATTTGTGTGCCCCTGGGCCCCTTTACTCTCGCACGGCGGCTGTTGGTGGGGCGTTAGCCGAGGAAACGACATGTCAGGCAACAAGGTCGCCTGCCCAGCAGTGGCCGGTGCTGGTTTTGGGCAACATTTGTTGGTGGGCATCGCGCTTCTGTTTTCCTTACCTGTTTCGGGAGTGCCACCCTGCCTTCCAGAAGTGCCTGTGCAGTGATGTGTCGAGCGAGGATGCGGCCACGCCAGTGGACCGCGTCTTCCGGCGGCGCTTGGGGAAACCACTAGGGAACATTGGGGCGGGGCCCTCTGGAGTCATCTTGGGGCTCTCTTCAAGCTCTTGTCTGGCAGCTCGAGCTGTCTTGGGAGTCTCTTGGCGATTTCTTGGGCCACCTTGAGGCTCTCTTGGGCCCCATTGGGGTGCTCTCGGGCCGTGTGGCGCCGTGGAAGACCGCATTGGGAGCCTGTCTGGACAGTCTTGAGGACCTCTTGGAGCTCTTGGGGGCAGCCTTGGGACTTGCTGGAGTTGTCGTGGGGCCACGGTGGGGTCGTCTTGGGGCCGTCTTGGGGCCATCTTGCGCCGTCTTGGGGCGCTCACAGGCGCCTCTTGGGCCGTCTGTGGGCGATACTGAGGGCCCCCTGGCCCGTCCTGCGCTCGGGACAGCCCGAAAAGGGCCAGAACACGAAGACCCGAGGAAAACCTACTGTGTTGGATCCCTGGATGTCCTCGTGAAGACCCCTTCGGGCGTCTTGGGAGCCTCCTTGGCCGCCTTGAGGCATCCTAGAAGCATCCTGGGGCCATCTTGGATGCGTCTTGGAAGCCGAACTTGGAGCCATCTTGAGCGGGAAAGCCCATGGGGTACGCAGCCGGCGGCTCGGCCTGGAGGCCACATGGCACCTTTCGGAAAAGCCAGAAAGAGCCATGAGGTCTGACACGACAGGCACACCTGTGGCAACCCAAAGGGAGGAGGAGGAGGAGGAGGAGGAGGAGGAGGAGGAGGAGGAGGAGGAGGAGGTGGAGGAGGAGGAGGAGGAGGAGGAGGAGGGAGGAGGACGAGGACGAGGAGGAGGAGGCGGAGGAGGAGGAGGAGGAGGAAGAGGTCGGCCCATCCCGCCACCCTGCCTGGATCTCAGCGGAGGGCTGTTTGAGACGCTGGCAATTGGCCTTCGGGGGAGGGCCCCTCGTCGCCACGGCTGGACGCAGATCGGAGAACCGGTGCGCTTGGACCCCGGGAGGGGTCTGGGGACCCATTTCGAGCAGATTTTGAGTTTCCAGTGTCTCGATTCCCCCCTCCTTCGAGGAACGTGTATAAGAGGCTTCTTGGATGCCTCCTGGGGGCCTCCTCGCAGCCCGAAAGGGCCCTCTCTCCAGCGGGCCAGAGGACGCTCCGACCAGTGCCTCCGGCACGGTGGCGGATCTTTGATCCGACGCTGGTCCCCGATCGGGAGAAGCCGTCGGAGGAGGAGGTTGCGGACGCGAAGATCATGTACTACTCGCCATCCTGCGCCCCCGCCGAGGAGAAGCGCTCGCAGGCGGGCCTCTTCGAGGGACTCATCCAGTTCACGGCCATGTTCGGCACCGGTGCCGACACGGGCCCGCTCCGCAGCGTCCGCACGCGGCAGTTCGCCTTCAGCGTTCTGGAGGCCGAGCCGCACACCTGGATGGTCCTCGCGCTGCGGCAGCCCGCGGCGGCCGCCGACTCCTCCCGCGGGCCCGCGGCGCGGGCCGGTGCCAGCGCCGCGGATGACGCGCAGGACGACGTGGATTCTGGCCTCGGCGAGTCCACCCTGCAGGCGGTGCTGCAGAACTGCTACAACGTCTTCAGGCTGCTGCACGGCCAGGTCCAGTCGTACGTGAAGGAGCACTCCTTGCACAAGCTCTTCGACCTGCTGGAGGACTTCATCCCGGCGTTCCTGGAGACCATCGACGCGAGCGACCTCGGCATCTTCCACACGCTCGACGGCTTCCACTACGGCCCCGTGGAGCGGAGCACGTGCGTGTCGATCCACTGCTTCTTGGGGAAGCTGCAGGAGCAGTTCCCCATGATCCGGCACGCGGCCCTTCTCTACAACGCGCACCTGATCTACACGAGCGTACCCCTTAGAGATATGAAGGTGCTCTACAGCTACCTCGTGTCCTTCAACGGGGCGGTCTCCAACCAGAAGCTGAACAGGACTCCATTCGGCAGGATCCCCACGGCCGCGTCCCATCTTGGGGGCGGCAGCAGCTCGTTCGGCCGTGCTTTCCTCCTCGCCGAAGAGGATCTGGGGGGCCTCAAATCGACGAAGGAAACACGGCATAGACATAAACTGTTGACGCTCCGCACTTGGGTCCTCGCTGGGCCCCCCTCCAGCGGCGCCTCTGGCGCCGCCCCTGGCGCGCTCCGCGCGCCAGGGAGGGGGTTCCAGCGCAAATCCAAGAAATCCACGCGGACTGGCGAAAGTTTGTGTTTATCAACGCCCGGTCTGTCACAGCACCGTTTTGGCCTTCAAGTTGTCGGCGCCGTTGCCATCGCCGCCGCCGTCGCCGTCTTCGTCGTCGTCGCCATCGTCGTCGTCGTCGTCGTCGTCGTCGTCGTCGTCGTCGTCGTCGTCGTCGTCGTCGCCATCGTCGTCGCGTCGTCGTCATCGCCGTGCTCGTCGTCGTCGTCGTCGTCGTCGTCGTTGCCGTTGCCGTAGCCATCGTCGCCGTCGCCGCACCGTTTTTGGGGACCCCCAAAAGAGGAGGACTTCCTGTTCGGGGTGTCGCGGCGGCCGAGCAGCGGGGCGGGCAGCGGGCCCTCGTCCCTCTTCGTGCCCGCCGTCTACCTCGCGGAGGGCGGCGCGGGGCAGCTGGTGGCCCTGACGTACCGCGGGGTGATGCTGGTGCTGGTCTTCGAGGAGCCGAAGAAGCTTCTAAGAAGCAGCACGGCCTCCCAGGCCTCCCAGATGGGGTCCGAGCAGTCAGGGGTCGGAGGTGCGCGCGGCAGCGCCGATGCATCGCCGATGCGGCTCGATGTGGAGCCCGCGTCCCTCCAAGCCGTCGGCGCCGATGTGTTCCCGACGTCGCCGATGCATCGGCGATGACGCGCGATCCTCCGACCCTATCCCCTCGGACCCCATCTAGGAAGCCCCAAGACATTAGCATTAGAATCTGGAGCCCCGCGCGGATTTCTTGGATCGGCCCTTTGCCACCCTGGCCTCTGGCGCCGCCCATGGCGTGCTCCGCGCGCCAGGGAAGGGGGTCCAGCGCCGATCTAAGAATTCCGCGCGGACCTCCGAAAGTCTATGGCTATGCCGCTTTCTCGCTCCTTCTGAAGGAGAGCGCGCAGCTCGACGCCCGGGTTCTCGAGGCCGTGCGCACGACGTGCACGCGGAGCACGGGCGACGGCCTGTCGCTGGCCGATTTGCACCCCCTGATCGCGCCGCAGTACGCGCAGGTGATGGAGCACGAGGACGAGTACCGGCTCCCAGAGGAGGAGGTGGAGGTGGAGGTGGAGGTGGAGGTGGAGGTGGAGGAGGAGGAGGAGGAGGAGGAGGAGGAGGAGGAGGGAGGAGGAGGAGGAGGGGAAGCTGCCAATGTGCCGTGGCTCGTCCTGGAGTGCCCTCGCCGCCAGGGCCAGGCGTTCCTCGAGGTTCTGGTCGGAACGCGCCCTCCTTTGCGGAGGCAGCTGGAGGACGCGCCCGGGAACCGGAGAGAGGAGAAGAAAGAGGAGGATGCAGAGGGGGGAGGAGGAGGAGGAGGAGGAGGAGGAGGAGGAGGAGGAGGAGGAGGAGGAGGATGAGGAGGAGGGGGAGCAGCAGGGGAGCAGCGGCATCGGCGTATACAGTCAGGAGCTTTGGGCCCACCACGCTTCGGGGCGATGCGCTGTCCACGCCCCAGCCCCCGAGCCCCCACGTGCCGAGGCTCCAGCCCCGATCGGAGCGGAGGGGCACGCTGCCCGCTTGCACGGCACGGCGTGTCGCGGGGGCCGCCGCCGCGAGGCGCTGAGCAAAAAGTTCCGGGTCGTCCGGCAATCGTTGTCTCATGCATTGTTTTGCCGATCGGCGCGGGCCCTCGCGCCCCCCCCCCCACCCCACCCGCCCATGGAGTGGATCTTGGCTGTTTTGGGCGCCTGCTTCAGGCAGAGGTGGAGCCTCCCCGACGGGACGCACTGCTACAAACAGCCCCACCGAGCAGAGGTCCGGAGCCAGACGCTCCGGGCCCCCCCCCCCCTCCCGGCCCCCCGCTTCCGCCCGATGTCGAGACGCCGAAGAAGAAAACGCTCGCGTGTTGGATTCCACAGGTTCGCGTATTACAACCACACGAACCACGCCCTGCGCCTGTCGAACCAGCCGGGCAGGGCGCGGTCGCTGCTGGGCGGCATCCGCTCCGCGAGCGCGGGGCCACGGCTCGGCGAGAGGGGGCTGCTGTGCCCGCTGCACGCCACGCTGTCGGACAGCCGCCTCCGGTGCCGCGAGGTGTCCTGGAAGTCGGCGGACCGCGGGTGGATCTGCGCCAAGAGGTCCCAAGAGCCCAAAAGAACAAAACAGCATCAATATTCAGTCGTGTACATGTCCCTCCACAGGAGGAGTAGTCAAGAACAGTCAAAAAATAGTCCGGGGACGATGGTTCGACGATGCTCGATTGTTTTGGACTCTATAGGTTTGTGCCACATCCGCCGACCCCTTGATCGACTGGGGGGGGCATTGTCAGAGTCCTGACGGAAACTCGTTGGGATAAGTGTATTTGCCGCGGCTAACGTTCGCAGTGTTCGCCGTGGACGCATGATTATCGAAGACGCCTACGGCGAATCACCGCCGCCCCCTGCCTTTGTGGAAGCGCCTATGTGTCCGACAGCTGGGCTAGAGCTTGGCCAAGCTATCGGGCCATTTGTTCCCCGAGTCGGTTTGGAAAGGTTTCGGGGAACGCGGGGGGGAGGAAGGGGAGGAGGAGGAGAAGGAGGAAAAAGGAGAAGGGGTTTGCCTCTTCGGAGCCTCTTGAGGCACTCTTGGGCTCGATTGGCCATCTTGGGACCGTCTTGGAGACCATGTTGGGGCTATCTTGGAGCCTCTTGGGGGCCTCTTGGGACTCTGTTGGGGCTTCTCGGGGGCTTCTTTGGCCGTCTTATGGCGTTCCTGGCCCGTCTGACGCCGTCGAGGGTCGTCTTGGGGGCCTCTCTGAAACGATTTGGGGCCCTCTTCGGGCGCTTCGGGTCCGTCTTGGAGGCCATCTTGGGCGTCTTGGAGGCCTCTTGGGCCGTCTTCGGGCCCTCTTGGGGGGGTCTTGGGGCCGTCATGGGCCGTCATGGGGCCATCTTGGAGGCCTCTTGGGCGATCTTGGAGCGATCTTGGGAGCCTCTTGGTCCGTCGTGGACCGTCGGAACGCCGAAAAGGCGCAAATCCCCCAATCCTTCAACAACCTAAGGAAAATCAATGATTTTGGCCTCGTCGGGCCTTCCTGGAGGACCTTTTGGAGGCCTCTTGGGCCGTCTTGGAGGCCTCTTGGGGGCCTCTTGGGCCGTCTTGGGCCATCTTGAGGCCATCGAAGGCCGTCTAGGGTACATCTTGGGCCGTCTTGGATGCATCTTGGGGCCATCGTAGCCGTCTTGGAGGCCATCTTGGCCGTCTTCGAGGCCATCGAGGGCGTCTTGGAGGCTCCTTGGGCCGTCTTGGGGCCCTCTTGGGGCCGTCTTGGGGCCGTCTTGGGCCGTCATGGGGCCATCTTGGAAGCCTCTTGGGCGATCTTCGAGCGACCTTGGGGGCCTCGTGGGCCGTCCGAAAGCCGAAAAGGCGCAAATGCCAAAATCACTCGCAAGCCCAAAGGAAATCAATGATTTTGACCTCTGCGGGCCTTCCTGGAGGACCTCTTGGAGGCCTCTTGGGCCATTTTGGATGCCTCTTGGGGGCCTTTTGGGCCCATCTAAGTCCGTCTTGGGTGCATATTGGGCCGTCTTGGAGGCATCTTGGGGCCATCTTAGCCGTCTTGGAGACCATCTTGGCCGTCTTGGAGGCCATCTTGGCCGTCTTGGAGGCCATCTTGGGCGTCTTGGAGTCCTCTTGGGCCGTCTTGGGACCCAGTTGGGGCCGTCTTGGAGGCCTCTTGGGCCGTCACGGGGCCATCTTGGAGGCCTCTTGGGCGATCTTGGGGCGATCTTGGGGGTCTCTTGGGCCGTCTGGGGCCGTCGGAAAGCGGAAAAGGCGCAAATGCCAAAGTCAGTCAAAAACCTAAGGAAAATCAATGATGTTGCCTCTTCAGGCCTTCATGGAGGACCTTTTGGAGGCCTCTTGGGCCGTCTTGGAGGCCTCTTGGGGGCCTCTTGGGCCGTCTTGGGCCATCTTCAGGCTATTTTAGGCCGTCTAGGGTATATCTTGGGCCGTCTTGGAGGCATCTTGGGGCCATCTGAGTCGTCTTGGAGGCCATCTTGGCCGTCTTGGAGGCATCTTGGCCGTCTTGGAGGCTATCTTGGGGCCGTCTGGGGCAGGAACACAGTTTGCAACCGGGTCTTCCGGGTGGCCGGCGGGACAGGCCGGAGCCCCAGGGGGAGCTCTTTTGGAAAAAGAAGCAAAACCAAAAGCCGTATCATCTGGCACGCCAGGCCCCTTTGATAAATCAAAAGGGGGCGGCGGATCGAATGGTATTCGGTCCATCCCGCCACCGTACCTGGCTTGTGGGTCTAAAGCCAGTGGGATAGTTGATGGGGTGTCGTCGGAGTTTTTCGGGGGGGGGCTTGGAGGCATCCCGCCACCGTGCCTGGGTTGTGGGGCTGAGGCCAATCGGATGGTTGATGGGTCTCGTGGGAGGCCCCTCGGGAGCGTCATGGAAGCAGTTTTTGGACCTCTTGGGGGCCTCATGGAAGCCTCGTGAGGTTTTTTTGGAGCCCCCATCGGTGTTCTCCAGGGGCGTTTTTGGGGCAACCTGGAGGCGTCTTGGGGCCGAAGGCTCGAAATGTCCGTTCGGGTTCCCCCTATGGGCCCCATCTGAACGCCGTTCTGGGGCCCTTCTGGGGCGTCTTAGGGGTTTATTGGGCCGTCTTGGGGCCCTCTCAGGCCGCCTTGGAGCCCTTTTGGGGGCCGCCTGGGCCGTTTTGGGGCGATCTTGGAATCGGCCATCGTGGTCGTAGTGAAAGCCCAAGAGGCGAATGTGCTAAAATGATACGTTTTCCCCAAAGGAATAAGAAGATTTGCGTTTATTGAGGCCCTCTTGGGGGGCCTGTTGGAGGCCTCTGGGAGCGTCTTGGGGGCATCTTGGGCCGTCTGGATGCCATCTTGGGCGTCTCGGCTCGATCTCTCGGCGACTCGGGGCCCTCTTGGACCGTCTTGGAGGCCCCTTGGGGCCCTCTTGGCCCGTTGTGAGGCTCTCCGTTCCCCCGTGACGCGTTCAACCGGGGGGCGTGCTGGGCCCGGGGGGGGGTCAAAATCGAGGTTTGGAGTCCTTGGGGGGGGATTGTCGACGGTTTTCGATTGTGTGGGATTGTTCTGACTGATCCTTATTTGTCTTCCGAAATCCGCCTGTAGGGGGACATGCCCGACCGAACATTAAGATCAACTTCGGAGCTCCAGGCGGATTTCTTGGATCTGCGCTGGCAGCTCCTGGTGGCGCCGTCCCTCAGGCGCGCTCCGCGCGCCCAGGAGGGGTGTCTGGCGCCGGTGCAAGAAAGATCCGCGCGGGGCTCCGAAAGTTGATGCCGGTGCAGCCTGTTCTGAGTCCTGAGGTGGCGGGAGCGCGAGTTCTACCTGCTGCTCGACGGCGCCGGTACGACTTTGTCGCGCTGCCAGGAAGAGTGCGCCAGGTTTGCGTCCATCCACTTCAGCAACATATTCATGATGTGAGTGGCCTCCCTCCCACCTTCTCTTTCGAGTTCCCCTTTCCCCCTTTCCCTTCGGTTCCACCTCCCCCCAATGTACCCCTCCCGTGGGCTATTTTCCACCTGGACGCGGCCCTGCAAGCCCGTGGCATTCCCGCGCGACTCATGTCAGGCTTGCAGCCTTGAGACATTTGGGACACCGTGCCCAGGGTCTCATGTGCCTCTCAGCCAACTTGGCCCTTGGGTTCCAGTTCGGTGCCGCCGTTACCTTCACGGTGTTGGTCCTAGCTTAGAGTAGTTACGTATAGGGGCTCTGATCAGCACAAGCGTCCGCTTCGTTTGTGCCCACAGCAGGAAACGACCAGGAGAAGGATGAGGAGCAGCTATACTGCCACAGAGTCGGCCAGGAGCTGCGAGCGAGGAACACACAAGGCCGCGCGGTTGGCGACGTAGTGGACGAGCCACTCGCCTTCATCGTGTGGTGCCCGTGTATACTCGACAGCTTTGGCGCCGGCCGAGTCATAGGCCTTCTCCGCACTGCTGCGAGCCGATTCCCCCCACTTGTCTAGACGCTGGCTTGTTCCAGTGCTGACCGCTTGGAACCCCCTGGTCGCCAGCGGACGCGTGCGGCCGCAGAGCGCTCAGCAGGATGGCTTCCGGGGAGTCTTTTTTTGTTGAGCCTCGGGAGCTTCAAACAGGGGCGATTGATTCGGGTGCTCCGCGGCACGTCTGGATATAGCAGGGCTGGACCTAAACAGTGTTTTTGGCGATTTCGTGGGCCGGTTTCGTTTCGACTTCGTTTTGCGGTAAAGGCGGATTCGAGACAAAAGCGAGGGAAAACGAAAACAAAACGAAAACGAAAAACACCGTTTAGGTTCAGCCCTGGGATATAGCAGGCGCACCCAATAAGAAATTGTCCTGCCAACGGGTGCACCACGAGAGTCTACGAATTTGATCTCCCGATGAATCCTCCGCAGAGCCCCAGGGCACCTTACACAAAGCGCAGAGTCGACGAAGCGCGTGTCCCCTGAGATTCTCGTGTCGGGTCGACCCAGGACCCCAGGTAAGGGGAGGGGGGTTAGGGGGGTGGGCCCCGAAGCCCGAGAATGAAACGGAGTCACTCAGGTGGTCGTTTTTGACAGTCTTTGTTTTGCCGATCGGCGCGGGCCCTCGCACCCCCCCTCCCCCCCCAATGGAGTAGATCTTGGCTGTTTTGGGGGCGCCTGTCTCAAGCGGGTGGGGTCTCCCCCAGAGGCAGCATTCTTGCAAACAGTCGTACTAAGCAGGGGTCTGGAGCCAGCCCCCTCCCCCCCGTTCCCACCCCCCTTCCGCCCAACGCCGAAACGCCGAATAAAAAAAGCTCACCAAGTCTGCCGCAGCTGGTGCTTCTGCGGGTGGCGGCAGCTCCGGTGGGTGGAACGGGGCGGGCAGGGAGAGCCCATGGGTACACACCACAAAAAGCAGGATCCCGCCAAGCCCTGTCCCGCCCACGCCCGACGTGTGCCTGCTGGAAGCGCAACGTGCAGCCTCGGCTCGAGTTCCAAGCCCAGACATGCGACGTCCCGATTTGTTCAATGCGCGGCCCCCGGAAGTCCTCATCCTGAGCCCTTTCTTGGCGGTCCCGGGGCCCGGCGAGGGCCCCCACAGGCCGAGAATGGCCAAACAAATTCCGCCGTGATTTCTTATAACCACGCGACCCTGTCTGGGAGCCGCGCCGCGCCTCGCGCTGCGGCAGGTGCCCCCCCACAATGGGGTGGGCGGGCGGCGGGCCCGCCGTGGCGCCCTCCGCGGGGGCCGCCGCCGTCGGCGCGGGCCCTGCCCACGGGCGGCCGACTCCGCGGCGCGGCCTCCGCCGGCGGCGCCCCGCGGCGGCCGCGGCGGTGGCCGCGGCGGCGGCGGGCCGCGGGCTGGCGTGCCTGTCGTGTGCGCCAAGGAGCCAGTGGAGGGTTTCTCCGAAGGGCTTAGGCGGCCCGTCCTCTTCCGCCTCCTCCTCCTCCTCCTCCTTCTCCTCCTCCTCCTCCTCCTCCTCCTCCTCCTCCTCCAGCTGCCATCTGGGCCTAAGAGATTGTCAGGGCAGCGCGCGCACGCACCCCGCAATTCCACAGCATGTGGAGGAAGGATTGACTGGGCAGAGGCCCGCATGGCGGCCAAGGCATGGACCGCGCCCCTCGCGCTGCTGCTGTTCAATCCGCTCTCCGCGAACCCAGACAGGCAACAGGAGGTTTTCAAGGAAGCGACCAAGTTCGATATCATTATCTTGGCGGGAACACGCAGATGGAGGCGAGAGCAGTACCCTGAACAGCGGAGAATTCAGGGCACCAGAGTCTAGGACGCGGGCTGGAGGACGGGCGCGCTCACCAACAGGAGCACGGGCATAACGATGGCGCTCCAAGGCAAATTCAGAGGGGCGCAAGTGGTCAAAGTTCAGGAACCGCCCGAAGAGCTATGCGGACGAGGATTTAGCACTCCAGCTGCAGCAGCACGACACGCAGCTCACAGTCATCGGCTACTATATGCCCGCCGCAGCCAAAGACGACAGCAGACCGCAAGAAGTACTACGCGACCATAGCACGGCTGTTCAAATGGATGGATTCAGTTGCGGCCACTCGACCTAGAGGAAGCTCACTGTTCAAAGCGGGAGACCTGAACAACAGCATCGGCATCACCAGCAACAACGAGCACCCAGAGAGCCCCCCGCTGGGACCAGGACGAGCAAACGAGAAACTACCTGGCGGAGCGGGACACAAAGCAAGACAGAACGCGGAACGGCTTGGATTCACAGCTACGAATACCACAGGTTCCTGGCGACCCACATACTTCGGAGGGACCTCGGCCAGCTGCATTGACTACATCATGGTACCTACCTCGCTGGCCAACAGCCTCGTCTCACAGGGGCCGCTGCTGCGCATGGGCACTAGACTACAGCATCTCTGCAGCAGACAACACAAAGATCATGTACCTGCCAAAGCTACAGCTTGCATTCCATTACGCCACAGAGTCCGACCCAAACAAGTTACAGTAAGAAGGGACCGAGACAAATTGGCAGCGGCAGCACGTAAAGGATTACACGTAGACGAGTTCATCCAGGACGCCGAGCACCAGGTCGAGAACTACGACATACAGGGCAAAGGCATTGACCAGCTGTTCGTGGACGCGAACCAGATCATCATCACCACGGCACAAGGGTACTACGGCGAACAGCAACAACGACCAGAAGACTATAATATCCTACGAGGCAGACGCATGGAATTGCTTAGACGTAGACGAGACCGACGCGAACGACTACGACGAGAAAGGGGCGCACTTTGCATCACGATCGCAGACGAAGACACCGCGAGGGTCGACTACCTACCAGTACGCGCCGACGGAGGCAGCCCCTACGACACTCCAGACACCTCGAACCTGGACGACATCGAGCACGAGCTGAAGAGCATCACCGCCACCTGCGCAGCATGGCGCAAATTGGAGTACCAGAAGAAGACAGACGCCAGGGTCGAGGAGCTGCACGAGGCATGGGAACGACGAGACCTCGCTCGCGTAGGCCGACTGCCCAGGCTGATCGCGGGAGGCAGATACGGACCACGTAAACTGGATTACTGGACAATTGGTCACTGCCAACCCAACGAAGCAGGAGTGGTCCGAGTTTTGGCAACTATCAGGAGGATTTCGCGGCATGGAAGGCACCGAGCAAAACAGCGAGACGGTAGAGCAGATACCTTTGGGGGCCGACGACTACGACAACGACCTGGAAGATATAGTGGAGAAGGACATGGAGGGCATCTCGAGCCGACTTAAGAAGGCGAAACTCCGACGGGCGGCGCCACCTACTGCCGCGCCCAGCGAACTCTGGCGCGTACTACCAGGGAGGACCAGCCTCAACAGCAGCGACAAGGACCGGGGGCGCTCCAACCACCCATTCAACCAGAAGGCTTCCAAGATTTACCCCGAGCGGCATTGGCAGCCGCCAGGGTCAAGAACGCGACGCCAGTTCGCTGGCACCAGAGCGCGGTTACAGCAGTGAAGAAGAACAACCAGTCGGGCCCAACAGGCAAGCGCATCTACCATATCATGGACCCGATCGGCAAAGCCTTCTACTCATCATGCACGGCACGGCAGAGGGCTCGAACGCACACCGACCAGGACTACGGGTTCATCTGAGGCAGGAGACGGGAGGGCGCCATCTCGACGATGGCAGCGATAGAATACCGAGCCAGGCAAGCTGGCTACTACCACACCACAACGATGAAGGACGCGTCCAACTTATTCGCCAGCTGTGCCTGGCCCACCATGGATGGGGATAACAGCATGCTCGTTGTCTAACGAGATTGCATTGCACAGTTCCGTTTCACCCTTCCGCTCTATAGTCTTTCTGGCCCAATGGATTTGCCCCTGCGTAGCTTGCAGGCCATCGCTCCTTGGGCCCCACTTCTCTCAATGGCTCGCTGCCCCGACTGCCACTGCATTGCGGACTGCCAAGTTAGCAGCGATATAGTTGAACTCCTGGGCCGCCAGCTGGATCGCTGCGGGCCAGAACAGCTCACGTGCGCCGCTTGTCCGAGCTGTCCGATTCTGCAGTGCCCAGAGCAGCCGTTCGCGTGGGGTGCGCTCTGCTGGGGTTTCTTATGAGGTGTGCTCGTCACGGTCGTCTCGGGCCTCGCGCTGTGGAGGGTAGCCCGTTTGCTGGCAGCAGAAACAGATGGCAGCTCTCAGCCCTCCAAAACGTACGCTGCACTACCTGCAGAATCGTCAGGGGGACTCGAAGGGCCTCGCTTACTACGATCTGCACGATGACTACATGCTCGCACGGATCATGTTGGCGCATATTCAGGGATATCGTCTCGTGGGGCTCGACGCACCTGGGAACATGTGGGGCGACTAGCAGGCCCGGGGGGCTGACACGGCGGCCTGGCTGCACGAGGAGATCTCGGAGGCAGGGCACATGTGGCTGCAGAGGCATTGCTGGCGGAGGACTGCACAAGGCCGCCCGGCTTCCGACGCAGGCGTGGTCGACCATCACTTCATCTCAGATTGTAGGCAGGAGCTCACGACACACGACCAGCCCCGCGCGGGCGGGGGAGTGGTGGCCGCGATCCAGTGCCGCCGATGCCAGCTCCTCGAGGTGCGCCACGCAGCGAGCTTGCGCAAGGACGAGGCCGACCAGGACGCCATGGCGTGGCTCGACGAGCGGCCCAGCCTCGGGGGGCATTACAGGAGTCGGCGCTCGACGCAGATACGGCCCGCACGTGCGAGCTGGGTTGCCGAGAGTCGCAGGGGGGAGAGTGCCATCCCGTATGGGCGCTGGAAGGTGCGAGAAGAAAGGCTGCTGGAGCGCTGCGCCGACCCCGGCGCTGCCTCCGGCCTCTCGGCGGCGGGCGCCCAGGCCCAGGCACGCGGCCGTGGCCGCGTGCGGCGGGCTTGAGTCGCCGCCTCGCATCGGGGAGGCCCCCGGCCTCGGTGCGAGTTTGCAGGGGAGGCGAGGCGCGCGGGATGATGATGCCCCCTCGCTGGGTTTTGGCGACGACGGTCTCGTTCAAAGAGACGCGCTGCCCATCCCTCTGGATTCGGAGACGCTCCACTACCTGAAAGGGGTTCTCGGCCCTCAACGGCGAGCTTTCGCTGGGGCAGCGGCGCAAAGCCGCGCGCTGCAGGCGGCAGGGGCGCTGGGTGCTGGAGGGCGTCGCCGCGCTCAACGAACTGGGCGGTGGCGGGCGTGCGGCAGGCTGTGGCGGGCGGCTCAGCTTGGCACAGCGTTCCGCGCTGCGTCACCTGGCTGAGGTCTACGCCTCATTCCCGCCCAAGACCGAAGTGTGCGCCAACCAGGAGGTGTTTCAGGCGCTTCTGGGGCTTCGACCTGGCCATGCTGATGAGCCAGCTATCGGGGCGAAGGCCGGCTACCAGCGCCGGAAGGTATCTCTTCCCTCTCGCGGTGCGGGTAAGGTTGATTTCGTTCGACTGCTCCCCTTGCACCCGCAGTCCGCGTTGGAGTCCGGGCACGGGTTACTGCGTTCTGCGCAGGAGGCTCTTGCCGCTCTGGACGAGGCGGATGTCACATGTTTCTTGCTTGAGCTTTTCGAAGCAGGCATCGTCGAAGTTTTGGACTACGAATCGGAGCGGAAGGAGGAGACGGGCATCTTCTTTGCACCGCGCAATGATGACAAGTTGAGGCTTATATTTGACACCAGGAGGGCGAACTGCCACTTCAAGGCACCCGAGCACACGCACTTGGCCTCTGGGGACGCCCTCAGCAGCTTGGAGTGCGCGCGCGGCGAGGAGGTGCATCTGGCTGCGGGCGACGTGGAGGTCTGCTTCTATCAGCACCTGCTACCTGGCTGGGCCAGGAACTACTTCTGCTTGCTCGACGTGGCGACCCACTTGCTGCCAGCCCGGCTGCGTGAGGTGCTGGGGCACGAAGGCGCTGCGCGGCCTCAGTACCTTCAGTGTGCGCGTCGTTCCCATGGGATGGAACTGGGCGGTGCACCTCGTGCAGGCCGCCCACCTGAACGTGCTGGCCTCTGTCTCTCCCGACAACCAGTGGCTGGTCGACAAGCAGCCGGGGGTGTTCCTGTCGGATAGCACTGACGCCGCCGAGGTCCTGTACATAGACAACCTTGCTGGGATCAGCACCAGCCGCTCGACTGCGAGGCAGGTCGTCAAGGACATGCTGGACACCTTCACGACGGAGGGCGTCAGGGCCACGCTCGACCTGGACGATGCCCACCTTGGCTTCACGTTGGATTCGAAGGCTGCCAGGTGGCGCCCTGCTTCCAAGAAGTTCTGGCGAGCGCACGGCTGCATCCAGTACTTGTTAGAAGCGAGGAGATGCATCACTGGTCGCCAGCTGGAGAGGCTAGTGGGGCATGTGGTGGCACTGCTGTTGCTGCGGCGTGAGGCGCTCAGCATGCTCAGCTCGGTGTACGTCTACATCCGCACGACCTACGATAAGGCCCAGCCGCTGTGGCCCAGCTGTCAGCAGGAGCTCAGGTGGGTGCTGGCGCTACTGCCCACCGTGTTTGCTGACATGAAGAGGCCCTGGCACGCGGAGGTCGGGACCTTTGACGCGTCGCCTTGGGGCGCGGGGGTCTGCACGGCGCGCTGGTCTTTGAGCGCGGTGCAGGCCACGAGCAGGCAGCCTGAGAAGCTGCGCTTCCGCGGGCCCCTTGCCTCTTTGGTGGCCCCGCGGGATGCCGCCCTGGCCGCCGACGCGATCGAGCTCTCTGACCCTGCAGCACTCCTGCTGGGCCGAGCGGCGGGCTTGGCGGAAGTGAATGCTGAGCTGCTGCGCGAGTCGAACTGGGTCACTGCGGTGGCCTGCAGGTGGAGGCGGAGTAGTACCATCCACAGGCTCGAGAGCTCAGCAGGTCTGCTCTGGCTGCGGCGTGCCTCTCGCAATTCGCAGTGTCACGGGCATCGTCTGCTAGGATTGGGTGACAATATGTCGATGATTTGTGCCATGAAAAGGGTCGAGCGTCGGACTACGGCCTTTTGTCTGGCTGCCGTTGCTCTTTCGCTATTTCAGTCGCCTGCAACCCCAAAGTCACCTTCAGGTGGACCCCTTCAGAGCTCAACCCTGCTGACGGCCCCTCGAGACGATTCCAAACTGGTCCGGAGCCGTCGTGGCCCAAGCAAGGACATCAGTTTCGGCGACACCGGAGCAGTGTTGAAGCAGGAGGTGACCCTCCAGGCGGCCGCGCCTTCAGGGCTGCCGATCTTGCCCGAGGCGGCAAGCGCTTCGCTGACCCAGAAGCGAGCAACTGGTGGTGGCGGATCCGCAAGGATCAAAGCGCAGCCGCCGCCGCCTTTCGCCCAGGAGCGGGCCCGCTAGCCGCCCCGCCGGGGCTTGCTGGCGATCAGCAAGGTGCAGCCGTCCATTCTGGTGCTCTACCTGAAGCTGTCGCAGCTGCTGGCAGGCGGGCTCTTTGCGGCCGCGCCGTTCGCCAGGCCAGAGGCAATGCGGGGCGCGGCGCTAGCTGTCTTCCTCCTGGAGGCCTTCGACCAGAGCTTGGCGCGGGCGGCGGCAGCAAGGGGTCGCGCGGGCCCCCTTCGGGCCCCAGGGGCGCTGGCGCTGCGGGCCGCTCTGTACACAGGCCCAGCCAGCGTGGATCCCAACGCAGGCTCGTGCGTGTTGGTGGTGTCTCTCATCGCAATGCTGGAGCAGCCAGGCAGGTCAGGCGTGAGGGATCACACTGCTGCGCTCTGCCTTCCGCGGCAGCCGGCCCAGGCCCGGGCCTTGGAGCGCCGGCTGGATGCCCGCCCAGCTGCTTCGCTCCCGTCGCGGGGCTTCGGCTACAGCTTCCGCCGACGGCGCTCTGGCCAGGTGCGCGAGGGTGTCAAAGCCAGCTGTTTAGCACGCTCTAGCGCCGCAGGCACGGCGGCGCCACCCGCGATCACCCAACGGGCAGCCGCATGCTAATGGAGGCGCAGCAGCGCGCAAGCTCGCAGGCCTTCAGCAGCGTGCGGCGCTCCGACAAGCTAGGATGAGCAGCGATCGAGGCTATGAGACTCTTAATCCTGTGCCACCCAGCCATGGAGCTTTTGGCCGATGGGCCAGGTGACGCTTGCAATCTGTTCTCGCAGCAGCTGTGATGAGCAGCACAGGCCCTGACTCACGTGTGTTCATCGAGCTTTTTAGTGGGTCAGGAAACCTCGCTGGGGACTTGCGCCAGGCGGGGCATGCCGTCATTGAATGGGATATGTTGCACGGACCCGAGTTTGATTTGACTCAAGCGTCGCCTTGGGCGGTGCTTCGAGGGTGGACCCAGAGCGGCAAAGTCAAAGCTCTGTTCTTGGGCACACCTTGCGAGACACTCTCGCAAGCTCGGCGAGGTGGGCCCAACTCGCGCATGCCCAGGCGACTGCGTGACAAGACGCACCTTTTTGGCTTGCCTGGCTTATCCGCCGCTGATCAAGCCAAGCTCAAGCTTGGCAACCTGTTAGCTCAGCGTGCCGGACAAGCCTGGCAGCTTGCGGCCAAATTTAACATTCCCATTTGCGAAGAGAGCCCATGCAGTAGTTGGCTGTGGCATTTTCCCGACAGACGGCGCCGTGCGCTCTCCCCCTCTTTCTTTGAAGCTGTTGTAGATCAGTGTGCTGCTGGGCGGCCCTTTCGCGCCCGCACCCGCTCTCACTTTCTGCATTGCCGCCCTTCCCCCAAGCTCCTGTCCCTGAAGTGTCATGGCCGCGGAATCTGCGACTTTACAGGAGAGCCCCATCTCGAGTTGTCTGGCAAGGCCAAAGGGGCCATTCATTTTCGCACGCGCCAAAGGCCTCCTATCCTGATGCCATCTGTCAGCAGCTCGCGCACATGCTCTCGCAGACAATCGTCGCTCGAACCATCTCTCGTAAATGGGTGCTTATGCACGGCTAACCAGCGCAATGCTTGCGGACGGGAGCTGTGTCTTGTTGCATATGGGCGCGGGCCGCCTGCCAAAGCTTCTCGTTCCAGGCTTCGTGTCTCAAGCAGTTCACTGGAAAAAAGAGATGCATGTTCGTTGTCTAACGAGATTGCATTGCACAGTTCCGTTTCACCCTTCCGCTTTATAGTCTTTTTGGCTCCCTCCGCCAGCCCTGTGCCTCCAGAGCGCCTCTCTTTAGAGCGGCGTGGGCCGCCTGCCAAAGCTTCTCGTGCCAGGCTTCGTGTCTCAAGCAGTTCATTGGAAAAAAGAGATGCAAGACCATGCCAGACGACCCCTGGGACCTGGGAGAACAACGGCATCGCCGAGCGAAGTGCATCATCCCGCGCCGAGATCACGAGGGCGGAGTCTGCGTCAAACCACATTGCGGAGGACTCATCGGTGACCCTTACATGGCCAGCAATTTCGCGGCGAACTTCTCCCCGCGCATCAAGGAATGGGCCAAGGATTGCAAGAAGGAGCTGAAAAACGACGACCTCTTGTACGGCAGCAGCGAGATCTTCCAGCATCCAGTCTACGCGGGCTTGGCCAAGTACGCGGACGATTTGCGCAAGACCATCCTCGGAGACAGGCGCGCCGACGCAGGGGGCATGGCAGAGCAGGCCAGAAAGGCCGACACCACTCTCAGCCAGCGTCTCAGCGAGATCGGCATGCGCCAGAACCAGGACAAGCAGGATAACATCATGCACTTCCAGGGCCACGGCATGACCAAAGCGCACAAAAATGTAAAGGCCAAAGCCGCGTGCAAGTTGCCAGGCAGAGTAGTCCCACGCGCGCGCCATCTAGGACCACAGGTCAGCCCCACGCAGAACTACGGAGCAGAACTCAACGAGCGCATCGCGGCCATGAAGACGAGCTACAACGAGTGCGGGAGCTTCTGGAGCAAGGCCCACGTCCCGCACAGGTGGGAGCGAGCGGTGCTCCTCTGCAGGGTGATCAACACGGGCCTCTCGTGCATCGAGTGCTTCCTGCCCACGCCGCACGAGCGCCAGCAGCTGCAGAGTGCCATGGGCGCTCTCCTTCGCCGGGCCATGCGAGGCGGCGCCATCCGTCACAGAGAGGACGGCAGCGCGCGAAGCCCGAGCAGGCCGGAAGTCTGTCGCCACTGGCAAATACTGCCGCCAGCGGAAGGAGCATTGGCGCGCCACCGCGGCTGGCTAAAAAAACATTCTCCGCTATCCCAGCAGCCACGAACAGCGGATTGTAGCACTGTTTGGGAGGGTCGAGTTCGAGACGAATAACGATGACGAGAACCCGATCAGGACCGATTTGAATCCTTGGGCTCAGAGGCTCGCTCTTGGAGGATGTACGATACGCTCGCGGGGTCTCGGAGAGCTTCTACAAAGCGTTACGCGAGGGCGACAACATCACTATGGGTAAGTTGTTCACACTAGACGTTAGAGAACATTTATACTTATTGGATGACCGGGAAGCTCGGGCAGCTAAACTCGGAGCGGCCCCCCCCCCCCCAAAAAAAAAAAAAGATGCACGGCGCGAAGAGCTAGCACTGGAAGAACAGAAACCGTGGAAATGCGAACTCAAACACGGAGATGAAGAATGCGGTCTACTATTTGCGAGCAAGAAAGCGCTACACAGCCATATCATACGCGCACACAGTGTACACAATCTAGCAGCAGTACTCACGTCGAACAACGAATGCCTGAACTGCCAACAAGTATTCATGTGTTCACGAACAGCTTGGAAACATTTGGCCTACAGTTTGACCAAGAGAGGACGCAACAGGGACCGAACAAACAAGCAGCATGCCCCTACTGTTCATGACCCTCAGTGTCCGCTCTCTCTCTCTCTCTCTCTCTCTCTCTCTCTCTCTCTCTCTGAACAAATGTACGCACTTTCTGCATCTACGCACGCACTTACCGAAGCCTCTGCTACAGCAACCGCTTGGAGTCAGACATGCTGTTCGACCAGAGGCCAGCGAGCCAGGCGGCAGCAGTGCAACCCGGCGGGGGCGCAGCACGGCGAGAC